ATATATATCTATTCATTTGGCTTTGTTGATGGCATTTTTTGGTGACGTGCGGAGATCGGCAAGCGTCGCGCATTAAAATCTATTTTGATTCAAGGTCGCGTCATCAGTTTTTGTTATAGTTATACAAATTGTTTCAAAATTGTACAAAAGAACAGTAAAATCTTAAAGGAAAACATAAGTTTCAAGCAAGGTTTTATGAGTTGTGCAACACTGAAAAGCCAGCAAGAGGAAGCAAACGTAAACTGAGACAATTTTTGGAGACGACAGCAAGAGCAACAACAACAACAGCAACATCAAGTCACATTATTGTTCAATTATTCACAATTGCACAATGAGTTCCGAGTGAATATGATTCTATATATATACGTATATATGCATTTGTGTGTGTGTGTGTGTGTGTGTATATATGTATTTATTAGTTGCCGGATTAGCTGTCACTTAGCGTTTCCTTGGCTTACCCAATCGTCTACACTTGCCTCTCCAATTATGCTCGTTGAAATTGAAAGCATTAAAGTGTGTCTCTGGGCTATGCATAGATGTGTGTGTGTGTGTGTGTGTGTGTGTGTGTGTGTGTGTGTGCGTGTGTCTGTTTGTGTATCATATGTGTTACACATACATACACACAAACTTACACTTTAACATGTATATGCCTTCTTCATGGCGTGCTGTTCAGCACGTTGCGTATACGCCATGGGAGCCCATTAAAAATTATATTAAAACCACTTTTACTGGTTCATAACTTCTATAATGCTTTTGCTTATATAAAGTGCAGTTTTATAGAGTTTTTATGTTTGCCTAGAACTGAAATATATCTTTCTTAAAGTGAGCCTAACTTTATCTTACGTGTATATGACACTTGCGTTTTAAAGATATTTTAAGTTTTGTGATAGAAGTTATAAGATTCACTTTTTTTTTTAATAAAATTAAAAAAGATGATAACCGAAAGAAACCAAGGGGTTCACATGCTTAGAATGGATTTTTTTTTAGGGCTGTCGAATATTTTTAAAATATCGCATCGATGATATTTTAGGTTTTGAATAAATTTCAATATGGGGTTTGATATGCAACTTAAAAAATATCGATACATTGATATTTTCATATATTTATATTCAACAACCTTACTTTATTTTTATTCAATATTGACTAATTGAATTTTATTTTATTTTTTTATTCTACGCTTTTCTTTTTTTCTCCAATCTCAACATGTATTTTTACCTTTTCATACTAATAAATAAATAAAATAAATTACTTTCTGTTTTAGCCAAAATAGTATTATGAAATTTACTTTATTGAGAAATCGATTATGTTGTACTATATAATTGATATTTATTTTTTTAAACAGATTTGCGTATCATTGAGATGCTGTAATTAAAATAGTAGAATAATCAACTTTCTACTAACTTGTCTGAGCTGTTCTTAGCTATAGCTCAGGTTGGATAATGTCTATATAAGCTTGATACAAAGTTTCTAGATTTGTTCTACTATGCCCAATTTGTTCTAGTTGAAATAAAAAACATAGGACATATATAGCTTGAGCCTGATTATGAGCTTGAGCTTATACCTAGCATCAAGAACCAGAGACCATTAGTAGACAATAACTAACAATAACCCTCTAATATCCCATTAGACCTTTACACATCAATTGTATCATATTATTTATTATTTATCATCTATCATTTTAGCCAAGTATCTGAAGTCTTCTGGCAACTGCCCAATGCTTAAAGCAAATAAACTTATTCGTTATTGCTACATTATAATAAAAATCAACAAATTTATGTTCCTCAATCAACAGATTCAACTACTGCTAGTTGTGAGATTAATTAAATATAGATTATGTCATTTGATTAACAGAGGCACGACATGCACGCAGACTGTTGAATTAATTGAAATTGAAATCTAAATTTAGATATAATATCTTATTCGAGATGAGAGTGGCTCAGGGCTACTGCGGACGCATACGAAATGTGTTGAAGAAATTGTCAAAGTGTTTGCTCAACATATGAATTACAATATCAATTGAAATGAAATGGAACTCGGCGCAGCAAATTGTTGCGGCTCCTTAGCATTATTTTAATGGACTACGCAGAATAAGATGTGTGTATACACATCATACATATATACATACATACATATATACATATATATATACATATATCTCACAGATTTGTCCCCTCTCTCTCTCTCTCTCTCTCTCTCTCTCTCTCTCTAGGTCTTTCAAATTTCGACTATGCAAATGTAGCGGAAATACCGAAAAAATGCCGATCAGCTGCGCTCGCAC